TAATTAACTAATAAACGAACAAATAGGAAGACGAACTAAACTAAGTACTACTACAACAACAAGTAGTAAGTAGTAAGTAAAGAAAGAATAATAATAGTGTGTGTTATATATATATATATATATATATATATATATATATATATGTATATGTATATATATGTGTGTGTATGCATATATATGCAATGGGATATTACTCAGCCATAAAAAAGAAGGAAATAATGGCTTTTGCAGCAAACTGGATGGACCTAGAGATTATCATATATTAAGTGAAGTAAGTCAGACAAAGGCAAATATTATATGATATCGCTTACATGTGAAATCTGAAAAATAGTACAAATGAACTTATTTACAAAGCAGAAATAGACTCATAAACCTAGAAAACAAACTTACAGTTACCAAAGAGGAAGAGAAAAGGGGTGATGAGTTGGGAGTATGGGATTAACAGATGCATACTGCCATATACAAAATAGATCAACCACAAGGGTTTACTCTATAGTGCAGGGAACTATATTCAATATCTTATAAGAAACTATAGGGGGGCAGGGTACAGCTCAAGTGGTAGAGCACATGCTTAGCGTACACAAGGTCCTCGGTTCAACTCAATCCCCAGTATCTCCTCTAAAAATAAATAAGTAAAACCTAATTACTGCCTCCGCAAAAAAAAAAAAAAGTTGGGAAAAAAAGAAACTATAATAAAAAAATATACATATTTATATGTATAACTGAATCACTTTGCTATACACCTGAAACTAACACAATATTGTAAATCAACTATACTTCAATTGAAAAAAAAAAGAAATAGGAACACATATAGGCACCTTTGCTTTAGGAGACAACTGGGCAAATGATAAAGAAGACAACATTTGGAACTGAATAGGTCCAGATCTGGGTTTTGCAATTTATTGTGTTTAAAGATTAGCAATGGAGAGCAAGAGTAACTGGAAAACGGTGAACTTCATACCGCAGGCAAGGTGCATTTGGACTATGCTAGAATTGGGAGGTAAAAGCACTAGGGGCTGGTGGCACCTCAGCTGCATGCCACGCCAAAGGAACGGAGAGGCAGGGAAGGAAAGTCCTCAAAGGATCTGGGCAGCAGAATTCTAAGCCCCTGTCCCCAGTGACCATTCTAGATGGATAACATAAGGGTCCTCAACGTTTCTATGCTGAGCTTTCAATACCGGCAATTTTGCACATTATATATTTGCACTCTCAATCTCCTTCTTAACATCAGCAGAGGAATTATTCCCATGATGCAGTTATATGATGATGCTTCCTAACAGCCAACAGTTCGGTTTCTGCAGTTGTCACCTTTTTGCTTTTGGAGCTATTCTGCAATTGTAGCATTTGTGTGGGAGATTTGTTTGTTTGTTTTGCAGTATTTTTCAGACTATGCTTCTGGGACCCCTGGAGGTGTTTCAGGGGCTCTTTGGGGTAGGAAGGGATGAGGAGAAGGATGTGAGCACTCCACAGACACAGAGATATGCTGCATCAGCAAAAGCAGCCCTTCAACCTCGTACATATTGAGCTTCTAAGAGACACTCACTTGAAGAAAGGGTTCTGCCACCTAAAAAAATGGAAAACCATAGTTTCATTGTATTATGTAATTTTATAGGTCTTATGAAACAGAAAAACAGAAGCCCTGATGTAGTGTGAAATTCAACTATAGTGAAAGAGCAGTGAGTCTTTAGTGTTAGTGGAAACTGAGCCAGTAAATTGTGTTTAGTGTAAAGGGGAAGTTCAACATTAATGGGAGTCTTTGAAATGCTAGGAATACGTCATCAAAGATTGGATCCAAAAGCAGAGACGTCTTAGGATTGAGATGTCAATGAGGTAACAATTATAGAGTGCCTAGCAGAGAGTAATAACTGCTAACGTTTATTGGGCACTTGCTTTGCGCCAGATGCTACAGTCAGTGTCTTGTACATATTACCTCATTTAATCCTCACAACACCATGAGGAATGTACTATTATGACTCACATTTTACAGATTAAGACACCCAGTTGCAAAATATATATGTGTGTGTATGTGTGTGTATGTATGTGTATATATATATATTTATTTATATTTATAATTACATATTACAGAAAGTAAATCTTAGTTAGGATCGTCTTGACTCCAGAGTCCACATGAAACTTCAGTGATTCAGCCGATTTCCTGACCCACAGTGTGTGGCTAGCTTGACTCTGAGTGAGCTGTCAAAATTGAGT